ATTCTCCTGTTAAAAGCATAAACAAATATTTTACACGAAATGTCACTGTACAAAATTTTTTTTCATCTTTCCAATGTTCAAAAGAAATTGTTTTCTTCAGTGCTGCATAGTAAAAGCTATTAGTTTGAGATATTCTTTGTTATGATATCGTTCGTTATTCATTTCTCCAATTTCCTTCGTTTTCAGTTCATTATTTTTATATCACAAAATTATGTCACTTCGCAATCCACTATATTCCATATTCGCTGACATATGACTGCTGAATAACTACTATGCATGTTGGATTTCTTTTGCTTTGGTCTTCCATATAAATTACCACTTTAGAACGACTGATTGATCTTAACTTCATCCTCCAATCTGAATTTTCATCTTGAACATAGGCCCGTTCAATTATTTTAAGCATTGTTAATGAGCGGGTTATTGATGTATTTATTCGAACTTGTAACCGTACTTCCACCCCTCCTCAATCAAAAAAGTTCATCTACTCACTGATGCTATTCTTAGATGTGAAATATTTAATTATTGTCAACTCGATCCACTATTTTTCGGGCACAGATCTAACTCATGTGTTTTCGGTGAACAACACCACATCTGCCAAAATTGATGTTAACTCCTTGAGTCTGTTTTCAACAGTAATTCGCCAGCTATTACTGTCGGAAAAAAGCGAATTATAATATTAATAACAATAATGATATGAAATAAAATTATATTAATCTATAAGGCTAAAGATTGTCTTGATTGAATAATGTTTAGAGAAGTGTTTCAATAAGGAAATCCTTTATCCAGTACTCATCTGCATTGTTTGGAATTTTATAGTTTATTTTCCGAATTTTACTAGCATGATCTTTTCATCGTGAAACTTAAAGCGTCTGATTCTTGTAGCTAGAGTTGAGGTGACATGAGTGAAATGCATTGAGTGGAAGGATCTATTGTAACGATTTTATTCGCTAGCAATCTCTTCAGATTTCTCAATTTTTTTAGTATTATTTAGTCGATCTAAATTAAACACTTCCAAAACCTTATTTCGTGACGAAGTTATTTGATGCCTGAAGTCTGAAACTTTGATAAAAGGAGTCGAAATACCAAAATCAAAGATTCGAAAACTCAGTGAAGTAAACAAACTCGATCTAAATTAAACACTTCCACAAGAGTTTAAACGATAATACGAAATCAAATTATGTATCATCAAAGAAACAGTCGGACGTTTTGATTATTATGCTGGTATGCTCGAAACAGTTATTCTCGGATCATGCAGAGCATGGCAATCGCAAGATAAGGAAAGACAATGCCCAAAAATGGTCGACGATCCACAAGGAAGAAACTATCATTACCTTGAAATTATAAAGCGAGGACATGAAATAATCAGTTACTAAGTAAAGAAGATCGGGAGAGCTAACCTCAAGTGGAAGAGATTCCACCAATCACGCAACAATAAACCCTTTACAATTACCATTGGTAACATTTATTTGTGATTCAAAAGTGTGGAACAGTTTTGAAGTAGTTTCAACACGGTAATTCATAATCAAAACATCCCAGACACTCAGAAATTAAACTAGCTCATATCATGTCTTAAAGGCTGCTAGCAGTGAGGGGTTGCGGCATTACACCAGAAAATTACGAAGTCATACCAAACTAACAAAGTATGGTGAATCTTTCATTATAAAGAAGTCACTTCAGAATGAATTGTATCCCATCAGAAGAAAATTGTACTAATTCATAAAACTAAACATTATTTTAATTGAATATTCTTTAGGGAAATATAAAACTGTCTCAAATTGTATCACATATAAGCAATCATTCATCTAACGCTCATCTTCCAGTTCTAACTAAACTTATCTGCACTATCTAAAATTTTTCATTTGTTAAGAAAGAGTACATTGTTTAATATGTTAAGCATTCCTCCTTTGTTCTAAACCAAATCTGTTTGGAGTATCGAAATATTACAAAGGTTTGTCAATCATTCTTATGAGCAATTGACAATGTTGAGACTCACCTCTTACTGTATAAAGAGTAAGGGTCATCTGATAGACAGCTCTTTATTCACTGTAATCATGCATTTGTTGTTTGCCAATGCTTACTGTATAAGAAGTTAAACCTTTATCTAAAACAGTTTTTTAGTATCAACAAGCTAAAAATTGACTAATTCCTCTTCACTTCATATTCGTAAACTCTACGAAATTATTAGTATATTGCCAATATAGATCAGTATTTGTGTACAGCGAATAAAAATCGTTATGACAGACTCCTTCAGAACACATTCGTTTATCCCAACTTCAAACTGCAACCAAGAAAAGGTGTTCTATAACAAAGACTTAAATTTCTCGACAGTCGCTTCCAATTAAGGAATTGTCACCAAAGTGAAAAAAGGAGTAACTTTCGTTACTCCTTTTTTCGCTTTTATGCAAATTTCTATCCACTTCTAAAACTATTGTACTAGTCAGCCTTACAACTCCTCCAGTTTTTTCAGACATTATTTTCGGACTATTGTTTTCGCACCGTATCTGATTTCATATTATTTCTTCCGAACTCACTCATGACTTCCCCTATGCCTTTACCTTTTGTCCAGTACTGCAGTCAATTTTTGTTGTCCTGGAGTTCTACAGAATGGGGTGAATTAGTACTATCCTTTTCCATTTTCTACGTGTCGTTGTAACTTGCTGCACCATGCTTCTTTCAGCTTCAGTTTAACATCCTTACAATTTGAACTTTAACTGACACCGAGTATCCAGGAAGTCCACCATTCACGTGACTGTTCATTCATGGTCCCTTGTTGTTTGACGGGGAGTGATGGATGAACCATTTCGGACTTTTGGAGAAGCAGGATGAGATTGCAAAATGCATGCCCATTCCTCCAACATTGTTGTCTTAGGCGAAAGGTCATGTAGTTGTTCACCTTGTAGATATTTGCTATTGTGGGATTATTAATTGCGTAAAGGTGGAAATTACGTTGCGTATCAACAGTAATAAAGTGGTACACTCATTCCCAGCCTTAGACCTGCCGAGTCAGCGGTGACAGATAAGTTGTCGGAAGGATGAAGGAAGGAGTGGCGACCTTTTCGTTCGGTCGTCCCACCCACTCCAACGATTTGTTACAAAAATCGATTTTCAATGAGTGTGTAGTGTTAGACACCGGCTCCTTGCGCGGAAATATTGGTGCGAGCAGAATGATTAAGCGATGTATACCCGGGGTACTGTTATGGTGGTTGCGGTTGCTCTTACGAGATTCGGTGATGGGTTACTCAAGAATGACCGACCATCTTGCTTCATTTGACGGACTGTCGATCGATCTGGTACCGCTGTGCAGGTCCACTTTCCATCATAATTAACTGAACATTTCCGTTGTAAAAGTTGCTTGTTTCAGTGCACTTATCATTGATTTTCTCCTCGATTTTACTAAGAATTAGTCTAATAAAACTAGAAACAGTTATGGACCATTAGATGTTTCCCATTCATTTTGTTCTATGGTGTAATAAAGCATGCGGAGAAGATAATCAGTTGACGACGACTTCGGTTGATAAGCAAATTTATGTAAAGAGGTCATTTTCAAAGTGAATCATTTATGAATTGTTGGTAAAAATGTTTTTTTTATCAACGATATTCAGAGTGAATCATTTATGAGACTTGTTTTGTCTGGGATGTGTAAGCTCATTGAAAGACGAAAGTAGCAAGAATGAAGTGGTCGTGTATACGCAAACTACTGAAGAACTGGGAAATACCAAAAAGCGCTCGTAGCTCTCCTACATATCGTTTATGAGTGCTCTTAAATTTTCGCGAGTAGATATAACATTAGAATTATCTTTTGTATGATAACTGTTTTCCATTTTGGATTGGAAGTTTGCGAGAAAACGACTATAAGGTATGCCTGTCTCATTGGAATTGTTGAAAAGTCAGGAAGATGGATATGGTCTGATGTTTGCAGGGATGAAGATGTATAGTGTAAGGTGTGAAATATTGAACTTTTATGCTTTATTCAAATATATCATACTTTGAAGATCATAGAAGGTGGTTGAGCGATTGTTTTTTACCAATGATAATAGGTGCGGTAGTATGGTCAGTTTTGAAGGACTCTCACCTGTGTTCTTATCTTACATATAGCTTATTGTTTGAGTGTTCTCATTTATGTTCGTTAACAAACAGATATTTCCACTGTCGCAATGTGTAATTCTTGTAAGGTCTGTGTTTCTGCATGTTTTCTCAAAAATGAAATATCTTCATCACTTTTGGTAATTAAATTCACTTGTCTTGTTTTTGTTGGTTCTAAAAAAAATTTGTGCATAGCAAATATGTGCTTCTCACCTTTTTCATATTGTAATATTTTATGGAAGTGAGAAGTTATTTTCTTCCACGTTCACAAATTAAAACTGTTTATAAGCATTATTTGACATTACAACGGTCCTATATTTTTGTTTATAAGTTCCGTTTCTGTATTTTTCTTTTGTGTCGAGATTTGACCATGCATCATCCATATTCAGGAACTGCTGAAAATTGATAACGAATTTATTGTACATCATTATGGACTAGATGCTGCAATTTGGTGATACTTAAAGTCGGCATTTGTGTTGCAAGATTGTTCAGCCTTGATTGGTCGTGTTTTTCACTTTCATCGGTTTGTGAATCTATGGTTTACAACAGAACGAATTGAAGTAACTTTGTAGAGGTCCGATTTATGGCAAGTTCTGTATTTTTATTTTTCAGATTATTTGATCAAAATGAGGATCGCACATCTGTATTTTTCTAAGCACGTGAGCTTATCCTCATTCAGTGCATCACAAGATTTTTGAACAATATTGCAGATTTTAGTTCTATTCGTAACTCACGCATGAGATGAAGAGGGGCTACTGTTGTAAGAGAAATTCCACAGAAAATGACTTGCCCTATTCTACTATTCTGATGGCTTTTGAATTGCTCATAGGCAGTCCCTGGATTATTTTTAAAAGAAAATGACTGGAGTAAGGTGTGAAAAGTCTAAAGCTACCTTATGCTTTCAGAGGACATTATAAATGTCGGAAAGTGAAGAATCGGAAATATGTAGCGTAGGTGTACATAGTGCTGGCGTTTCTGTATCACGTGACACCGGTACCAAAGTCGATCTCATCCTCAGGTTCTCTTTTAATGATAACGTATACCAGATTTAGTTGGGAAACACAGTAAATATGAAATCTTGAACTCATCTTTCTCTATGATAAGATTTCGAATGTATTTGAGTTGAGTGAAAATGGTTCGTGCGTGGCTGTTGTTTTTTTACAGAAATTTAAAGATTCTTTATCTGGGGACTTGAAACATTGAATGTGATTTGATCAAGAATAATGTTTTGAGATACTAAAGTTATACATTTGGTGGCGTAAATCATGGTGTTATCGCTTGTGAAGTGGAATTCTAATTGTAATATAGTTGTATTTGTTTTCATTTGTTCAGAATCGGTGGCTTACGGAAGCGACGCAATTTTTTTGCATCACTTATAAGCGCCTTCAAGAAACCATCTGATCCTTCGAAAATGTGTGCAAATGCTACCTTTACTATGTTTAATTTAACACCTTCTTCATTACAATTTTCCATTGATGTACAAACTGAGCGGCGAGGAAGACGTAAAAAAGGCAATACAAACCGTGTAGATACTTATACATGCTTCATTCGGAAATTTCCAAGCAATGTGAATCCTGATTCAGCAGAGTTTGAGGTTAATTTTTATATGGGCCTGTATTCCCATACATATTAAATAATGTATTCCCATTTATTTTGATTATTCGATTCAAAGGGCGTTCACCGGATTTTTCTTGCAAAAACTTGTACATCTATGATTGATCCTTTTAATATTATTTGAGAAGTCGAAACGAGTTTTTGTAAAAGTGTTTCCAAAATTTGTTTTCATTTCTTGCACTGCTAAGCAACACACACTTACTAGTTTTCTCACTAAAATAACAAGATAATGATGTTCAGTGGTTTATTAAATTTGAGGACATCTCATTTAGTACCTCGCAGTTATTAAATCATTTCGCTAGAAATGAGATTTCACAAAAATGAAGGTAACATCTATTTTAAATTTTCATTTCACTCTTATAGGTAATGGAACCGACGAGTGGAAGCTGCTTTATTTTGCTGAGTCTAATGAAAATTGACAATTTGGCGATAAACTGGAAAGAATTTCAAGACACGAACGGGACTATAGACTTGTCTTCTGTTTAACTTTTTTTTTATTGTTTCCTTCAGTGATTTTACGCATGGTGAATCTGTGGTTGATAATTTCATTATTTGCTGAACTAATTTAAGCTAGAACTAAAAGTGTTCTCGAAGCTTAACGGTTTTTTATTTTTCCTGCAAGAAATTTTATTTTAGAGAATGAAGTAGATCCGAATTAGCTATAAAAACATGAACTATAATTGCATGCAATGTATCAGCTTCGTGTACTTGGCAAGCATTTTGATCTGCATTGAGATTATATAACCTTGAATTTTTTTTTGACATCATGGGCCTTTATTTTTATGGTACAGTCCACTTCATGCATTTTACACTAAGTGACTTTCCTTCTTCCAATTATATAAATGTCATAATGTTTACGTAATTTACGTTAGGGAGTGGTTGTTTTATGCATAGTAAGGGTACGCTAATGTTTGACTTAAGATGATAGTATTGGAAAATAGACTGAAGTATTGTCAAATAAATTGGTGCTGATATGTTTGTTCTGTGTGCCTGATATTATTTCTTTTGGATGTCAAGACTGCCATTAACCACTTGTAAAGTTAAAGTTCAGTGTTAACAGCCCTTTGCATGCGCAGGAGTTTTTTTGTTGAACTCAAATTTCGTTTATGCTGGGTATATGTATTTCTTTGGTAAAGCATGATATTAGGCAATTACTCAACTGGACAAGGTTTATTTTGCGAATGATTTTTTAGCTTTGAGCTTCTAATCAACCTTCCAAAATTTCTGATGCTACCAGGTAGAAGAAATCTTCGATCGCTTACTGATATTAACAGTGTTCCGCTATTCTGATTTCTTCCAAGTCCTGGTCTGCACACCAAAATGTTCTATAGTGATTTCTGTTTTGGTGATTAGTAAATGTTAACACGACAAAACATGAGTCACTTCAAAACAAGCCTTGTAAATTTTGCAAATGAACGCAATAAAGCAAGGACGCAGATACAATGCAACATGCTTCGTTTTTTTTCCTAGAAACCAAAACTAGCTGGGCTTGACGTGAAAGGTTGTGTCGTCTGCTCCAAATTCCATCTTTTTTAAATATATTCACGGATTTTACTTCATAATCATCAGAGAATGTTCGGACACTTTCACCTACACATAGGGGCGCTGTATCTTATCACGTTGCCTTTACTCTGTAGGACATTCCCGCTTTATTGTTTGTGATGACAGGTCATATCCGTTATATGTTCAACAGATGTTCTGCCATGTTGCGAAGTACATTTTTCTTATTCTTATGCACAGCATTAATAGAAAAGTTGGTTTCACATTTTCCGATAGTTCGAACCTACTTTAAATTCATTACATGCGAAGCTTATTTATACCGTAGATATCCACTTATCGAACTTATCATTATTCATAAATCAACTTCTTAGTAGTCGCCATTAAGATCACTCCATCTTAAAGGATACCCCACTCTCCGACCTCATTTCCTAACAGTTAATACCAATGAACAAGTAGCTGGTGCTAAGGTACCTCTGGGACTAACGGTTTTCAACGTGGGTACGACCAGGGCCAAGCAATATCTGCGAAATAGAACGTAGGTCAAGCGTTTGCCGTTGAGTGTTATGCTTGTATGATGGGGTGACTGAAGCTCTGCATGTGTTGTGAGGTGGGTAACTCGCGTTTTGTTGTGGCTAGGAAGAGACGTTTTCATCTAATATGCAGATGAATCTTCTGTTTGCGGTGGTTTGGTGGAAAAACGGGCACGAGCCTCGCATTGGTTTATTCTTCGTATTTGTGATATTCATTTCTCTAGTTCATCCCCTTTGTTATTGGTAAGAAGCGGGACTTTTAGAGTGACATATACATTTTAAATGTTTTTTACTGAAGGACTTAGTAAGTATAAAGCTAGTTGGAGGAGGAAAATTAGGTAGACATGGTACTCAGAAGGGGTAGTATTATCCATTTCAGTTATCTTTACATATATATATATACATAAAGACATTATTTGTAGTATGTAGCAGTGGTGAGGAGTAATTATTATTAAGATATAATTAGGTGATTAAGTGTAGCATCAGGTAAATGGGTGGGAGACTTTGTATAAGTCCGATTTTGAGTGTTTTACTTCCAGTTTATTGCATGGTCGAACAACATATCTCCTTTTCAAGAAGTTTTTAAGAAGACTGCTCCTCAACATTTCAGGAATTATTTACTACATAAACATGAGGTATGTGTCAGCTTACATGTTGGCAGCGATGGGAGCCAAGCATCATGTAACAGCGAATGACATCGGAAATATTCTCGGATCAGTAGGTGTCGATTGCGAACATGATAAAGTTGAAGATGTTATTAAGAAAATGGAAGGGAAAACGTTGGATGAATTGATAAGGGAAGGATCAAAGTACCTCGCATCAATATCAGCTGCACCGCCATGTATCGGTTCGCTCTTGTTTATAATTACGCATTGGGCTTATGTTTTTTCTAAAAGTTAGCTGCTCGACATACCTTTGGAGACCTCATAAAAAGATTTAATGATACTTCTTCAAGTCACTTTTTAAGAAAGAATACATGTCTTCTAATGGATCTGAATCCCAGTCAAGAATCCAGTCCTTGTTGTGGGTTGGAGAAGAACTTCCTGCTCATAAAATAGTTGAGAATGTTCATGGAACTTCTAGAATCATAGTATATATTTAACAGATGGTAAATTGAGAATTTTTTTTTAAAACAGTGTTTACGGATCGCCTGGACTTAAGTAATTGGATTTTCAACTGCATTTTTGTAGGCATGAGTAGCATTGTATTGATATTTTTTTGTATCAGGTGGTACACTTACTGCTAGTGCTGCTACTTCCCTCGCAGATAATAAAGATGCTGTCACAGCTTCATCAGCGAAAAAGGAGGAAAAGAAAGAGAAAGAGGAGGAGTCTGATGAAGATATGGGTTTCGGTCTTTTCGATTGATTCTTTTTCATTATCCTTGTTTTGTTATTTCAAAATTGATGTTTTATGAAGGAAAGAACATTAACATATATTTATGTGACTTACAACATGGCATCATATTTGAGAATCCCAATAACCTAACAGAATTGGTTTCTCCGGATGATACCAGCTCCAAGTATTATATTCATAATTCATTAATTTATCGGTCCCCATAATTAAAGCAGGTATGAGAACGAGAATTGTATTCTTCGTAATGCTTGCGAAAAAAAAAAAAAATTTGTAAAGGGACGGTACTATTTTTTGGTATTACTGAGAGTTCAAATATACTGTAGGGAGCTCACTTATTTTGTTAAGTGAAATTTAGTTGAAGTCTGAATAAAGGTTGACAATGCGGTGCAGGTGATGTTTGTTAGACCAAGCAATGCATTTTAAAGTTGGAGATTGTTGGCAGTGTTTTAATGATTTCCGTTGTTATGTCGTCTTCAAACCTGGCGAAATTTTTGGGCGAATATCGAAAATATTCTCCGGATTGCTCCGTAATTGAAGTGGTAGTGCACATTGTTTGTTTGAAATGTGCAGATATGCATATTCTTGTACGTGATTTAAATAGCACAGTGGATAATTGGGAGCTAGTTGACATTCTACATCGAAGCTTGTGATGGAAATGTGGATGTTGATGGTGTAAGTGTTGTGGTTTAGAAGGTCGTATAGTCCCTTATGTAGCCCTCATATTACTTCATGTCGCTTTGCTTATCTGCCGCTTTCTTGTTTTGAAGAGATGCGTGAGAAAAATTCATATTATACCTGAAAGAAAGACAGGTACGATTAATGGAGTCTGCAGAAATGAGGATGTAGTCTCCGGAAAAAATGAGGAAGTAGTTTGAAATTTATCCCCGACTAGATTGTTTACAATTATAAGCTCATTTAATTCACCTCTTTTATTGTTTGCCGGTTCCTTACTAACAGTAAATTAGAATTTCACAAGGTTCGTCTAGCTGATCTCCTTTGTGGTTTGCCAACTCATCACCTAGAACTGATGACGAGGTTAACACTTTGTTTAACTGATCTCGTTTGCGGCATTGAAATCATGCGTTATGGGGTACTGTAGTATAAGGAGTTATAACCTTTAATGAGCAATATGGGATTCACTACTGTCCTGTAAACTACATCCTCAAGCTTTCTATCAATAAAATAAAGATTGATCAAACGTCGCTTTCTCTGCAAAGCAACAACTATTCGGCTTTACAATCTGCTCGAGTCAGCTCTTCTTCATAACAACTATTTGGTGTCTGAAATCGAATGTATCTGCGTCCGTTTGGTAACAAATTATGTGTCAAACAAGTGAAAAAAGAACGAGACCGGCATAAATGGAGATCAACATTGGCTTGCACCCAGCTCAGTTGTGGGAGGAAAGTTCCAATGAAAGATGCAAAAACCAACGCGCCTTTCACCAAGAACATTTTATAAGGAAGTGACATTCCTGCGTCGGTAGTCCCAGTATACCAAACAGCTTGCCCACCTAACAGTCACCCATCAAGCAAACTGGCTCTATAAAGGTGTTGTCAAATAGGCTCTGATAATAGTTTCAGTAGATTATATTTGTTGCTTTGCAGAGAAAGCGACGTTTGATCAATCTTTATTTTACTGAGATAAAGATCATCATTGATCGTAGTTACTGAACAATATTAGAAAGCTTAAAGATGTAGTTTGCAGGAGATAGTGAATTGCTCAATAAAGGTTATAACTTCTTATACAGTGAGCATTAACTGATAACAAGACGCATGATTTGAAATATCGCAGAGGAGGTCAGCTAAACGATGCCAAATTCGAGTATAATTTACAGTTAGTAAGGAACCGACAAACAAAAGAGGTCAACTAAATGAGGAGCTGATCCAGCACGTGTTCTTTGTTAACAAACAATGCAAGTTAAGTAACAATGTAAATAAACTCAGCTATATGGATGATGAATATTGGATAAATGATTTCTTACGTGACACTGAGACCTGAGACATTTGTCCAAGGAATGTTCAGACAAGACAGTCTTTAATTCTATGGATTTAATATAATTTTATTTATACGTATTATAATCCGGTTTTTCCGACAGTACTCGCTATGTTAGATTTCAGCGATCGCCGTAACCATTCACCGTGTTGGCGAGGAAGCAGTGAAGGCTGGAGGGGAAAAGAAGACACTTGGGAGGAAGTTAGCAGTTAGCAGAATCGTCGTCATTTGAAGAGGGAGAGCGTTGCTAGCTAATGAAAGGAGGCCTTTGGCTACTTGGTTAGTGCTTCTGCTGCCGACATCGCTCTCATTAAACGGAGAATATCGGTGGATGAAGAAAGATGTGTCTAAATGAATAGCTAGCAGTGGTTCTGGACAGCACAGATAGCTAGCTAGATAGCAGCAAGCTTAGCACGCAGTACGAACGCATGCTTGCAACACAACAACGACTGCAGCAGCAGTAGCAGTTGAGGCAAAACTGACAAGAGCGCTGCCGTTGCTTCAGCGTACTTTCAGGGATATAGACATGCCACCCCACCGAGTGTAGCAGAATCAAGTATTTGCGAGTTGGTGAAGAGAGCTTACTTTACTAGCTTTATGCTAGAAGTGCTGCTGCTACTACTGCTGCGGCCTTCATTGCTGCTACTACTGCTGATCGTGTTGTTCCCTCAGAAATCAATAGCTGAGGGGGAGAGTTTGCGTTGCTCGTCGGGTAGCTCGTTGGTGGAAGAAACTGTTCCTCGAGAACAAATGAACTAGTCCCTTCTACATGTCGGGTAAGAGTATCTGTTTTAACTGCTTATTATTATTGTTATTACTATTATTATTGTTTCCTATTCCATTACTTTCCTACCTTAACATTACATCTTTTTTGGTACCAGTATTAATAACGCTGTCATTAATTACTTCTCTCAGTATTTGTGCTTGCAATGAAATAGAAAAATGCTCCCTAATAATTTAGCGATGGGAAGGAATATTAACTAATCAACCAGTATAATTTACTTCGCACTCAATCCCAGATTGCTCCAAATCTACCAGTTCATCTCAACCTTTTTTATATTTCCGTCATTAATTTCTGCTCTCAATATATATATATATATATATATATATATATATATATAATGTTTAGAAAAAGCGCGGTTAGAAAATCCATATACTGCCTATATGATTCGTATGTAAGTTGCGGATGTAAGTTGTATAAGTAATATGCTGTTCCAAATTACTCCTTAATTTGGTATCTCAGGATTTCCTTAGTAATTCACACCTTTACTCAGCATCTCTTAATCATTTACTCATAAATCATGCTTCTTAGCGCTATCAGTAAATAGTTCAATTGATGCACTGTTTTTGAATTTCTTTCTCCATTTGGAAATGCCTTTGTAAATTCTGAGCTTTGAATTTTTGAATTGAAAATAAATTCTAATTACTTTTCTCCAGATTTTTAGATATAAATATTTCTCGATTTTAATTATTCCTAACGTTCTGGAATTTGGCTGTGGAAATTTAGAATTATGCTATTTATAAAATTTGACTGGCGAGAGATAACAGATAAAAACTACCTTTCGTATTCCCTAGCCATTTTAAGTCATCGAAATAGCACCTGATTTCTCGCTTTATTAGATCAGATTCTTCTGTTGCATAACTGAGAAACTGTGTGAACAAATCTTTTGTCAGATATTCATCGATATTCGATATTACCACCGTTTATGTAACTAACTTGCAATAAATTATAGATACTCTTCTCATACCTTATATATATGTATAGAGAGAGGATTTCATTTAATTTCAAATTTTATTGAGAACTATTTTTCAGCATTTTTTTATTTTCCTTTGAATGTGTTTAGGACATTAAATTTCTGTGTTCGATTTATTATGATAAAAAAAATTCCCAACTTGCAGTAATTGCGATGTTTTTTAAAAAGTGGGAAACAAAGGGAGAAAAAAATCGTGGTATTTCATTAGAATTTTCATTTATCAAAAGCAGTGGCGAAAAAGACAATTCAGTATGGAACAGAACTTGTGGTAATTAGGAAGCTTATAGTTCCGGTCAACCTAATTGGACATTCTCCTCAGGGGGATTCAGTGATTCAATTTTCTTTCAGCTGTCCTTACTATGTCCTCCTGGCTGCACGTATTATTTGAAAACCATGCTTAAATATTTTTTCTTTTACTTCGTAAGAAAAAAAAAATTCTGTATTAAAATCCTGATTACTGCTTGTTAGAGAAAGTCTTTACTAATTTTGATACCTTTATAGTAGAATCTCATTTCATTTCGGAAACATATTTAATAAAAAAAAAAAAAAACATTTCATAAATTGCAGTTGCAATTTTTTAGGAATGAGTTTCGAAATAATTTGTCACTTGGGAAAATTGCGGACTGCTTTGCAACAGTTATACCAAGCAGGACCAGTGTGTCTGTTTTTTGAAAACCAAAACACATTAATTAAGCTTATCAGTGAGTTTATGGATTGCAATGATTATTTCTATAGTTTACGACACTTTTGATAACTGTATAATATCTCCATTTGTACCCCATTTGCGACTAAATCTAATAGTTAAAGAGATGTATCCGCAGTCAGTGTTGACAAGTTTTAGACTTTGGTTTGATTTACTACTGACTTTGTTAAACCCTCTCCCTGCACTTGTCATGTGAAGTTTCTGCTTCTTCATCCCTTTTTTTTTTAACGATATCACAGTTTGTTTGCATCTTACACCAACTATTCACTACCACTTGGTGCAGTCACTTTTCGTCGACTTGGTAATTTCCATCAGCAAAAATAAGCACCTATAAAATAGAGTTAAACTAAGAAGTTGAAAATTAAGTAAACAACTTTTTAACCATCTAGATTTGATAACATCGAAAATTCTGTACTCCAAAAAAGTGTGGGCTTCACCTCACTCATGTATAAAGTGGTTTTTTTTTTTTTTTTTATCTTAATTGCTGTCTGCAAAATATGCTCCAAACTTCTAAAATGTTCAATTGGAAAAAAAGGCCGTTGAAAAGAATTGTAAAATAGTTG